AGGGGCTTGCTACTGGGCCCAGAGCTTTTCTCTCCTCTTCTGCCTTGCAGTTGCATCTGGCTCAATTTTTTTTCTCTCTGTGCCTTTAATTTCTCACATTCTCACTGAAGGAAAAAGGAGGAAGGGACACTTTGTGTACAAATATGATTTGACCACTCAGGAGGGTCCTTATTTTCAATATGTTCCTGTAAGACCTGCTTCTTCTTGTTGATAAAACCTCCTAGAATTGTCATGATTGCTGGATTAGGGAAGATTTCCCCCAGACACATGCACAGACCATGAATCTATGTAGTGAGCTCACGTTCTCTTCATGCACAAATTCACAGACTGTCCCCCCGTGAGGATGATAAGCCCCACCATGGCTGCCCCATGAGAATCTCTGTCCGCTTTGGGGCAGATTAACGTCTTGATTCTCACCTTCATGGCTGGCCTTTGATGTCAGGGATTTGATAACATCTGTGGCTGAACTTCAGTCTCCTGACTAGAGGAGCATTGAGCCCAAGAACCTCACACAGCTCTCACATTTTCCCATGAAACAGGAAGGAAGACAAGCACAAAGAGGGAATCCTGTCGGATGCCTGCTGCTTGTATTCTGTGTGTGGTCTCTGAAAGCTGAGCTGGAGGATGAGTTCTAAGATGTGTCTCTGAGCTTCCACATGGAGAATCCATGTGGATAATGAGAACCAGCCACATGGAATTCTGATCCCTGCCCAACACCTGCTCTCCTTCAAGCGTCCCACAGAAGCTCATCCCAACATCAGCCTCTGTTTTCTACTGTCAAAATTCTCACTAAATCTGACCTAGGAACTGAGATCCATGACGTCGGACCTCTGCACACTTATTCTAAGCTATTCCTTCAGTGCCAGGTGCAGTGTGCAATCTTCACAATGTTTGGGCATAAACACATCCCAGCCTCATCCCCTCATATCCGTCGCATGAATCCACCCACCCACGAGCACCCCAGGGCTGGTTATGCTCATGTGTGCTGAAGCTGGCACAGTCACCCTGCTCAGCACATGTGTTCTACACACATACGATTCTAGGGAATGTATGTTCTGTCTACTGCAAGCCATGCTTGTGTCAAAGGCAGTCACAGTCACAGCTGACTGCTCCTATCAGGACAACTCTAACGACTGACACATATTATGCTGAGGGCATCCAGACAACCCCAAGAGCTGCAGAGCATCATGTTGGACACGTCTTGGGGAGGCTGGAGTCAGTGGTCAGAGAATTGGCTTACAGGGCTGGTCACACCAATGTCACCAATGTTCTCAGTGACCAAAGCAGAAATACACAAGGAATTATCTGTAAGCCTGAAAGTGCAGGAACAGCAGGAAATCAAGATGGAGAGAAGGATCCTCAGCTTAAAAACTGATTAGAGATAAGTTAATGAACAGCAAAAGGACATGAGATAAGTGCTCTACCTGAGAAGATGTTCAGGACAGAGATTCTGTATCACAATGAGTACATGTCTAGTCCGCACATTCAAAATGACATTATGCCTTTTCTTTACACTCACTCACACTCTCTAAGGGGACCAGTCAACTTCATTGTACACTTACAGCATTAACCACGAAAACTACAAATATGAAATCAATCAAATGTCCTCATTCTATTTTTGGATCTAAACCATCAATTCTAAGGAAAGCTCCAACTGGTACATAACATTATGGGATTTCAATCCCAGTCTGCCTTGTCTCTGTCTCATTCTGCCCAATCTCTTCACAGCCTTAGTCCTCACTGCCCACGTTCACATTCTTGAAATAATCTCCTCAGTTGGTTGCTTCTGGCATCTCTCCTTTGCAAGGCCATCACATCCTTTGATGCTTCTTCCAAATCTATGTGACATTTAAGAGCATATTGTGTGCATGTGTCACAGTTTACTATCCAATCAACTACTGAAAGACCTCTTAGCTGTTTCCAAGTTTTGGCAAATAGGAATAAAGCTTCTACAATCATCCCTGTGCGTGTGTTTGTCAGGACATGAATTTTATTATCCTTTGAGTAAATACAAGGTTGGGATTGTCACATAATACGGTAAAAGCATGTTTAGTTTTGTAAAAAACTGCCAAACTGTCTTCCAACATGGACGCACCATTTTGCATTCCCACCAGCAATGAATGACGGTTCCTGTTGCCCCACATCCTCATCAGCATTTGATGATCTTGGGCTCTGGATGCTGTCATTTCTATTAAGTTTGTGGTGGTGCAACATTTTTTTAACTTGCATTTCCCTGTGATGCATGTTCTCTTCATATCCTTATTTCTCATCTGTGTATCTTGCTTAGTGAAGTATCTGATAAGGGCTTTGTCCTATTTTTAAATTTTCGTGTTTGCTTCTTATTGTTGAATTTAACACTTCTTTTGTGTATTTTTGGAATAGATATGTCAGATGTCCTGTGAAAATATTTTTCTTCCAATCTCTGGCTTTCCCTTGGGCTAATTTTCCATATTTTTCCTTGATTTCCCATGACTAGTTGTGGCTATTTCAATGGAAAGTGAAGCAGAAGCACTTTTCACGGCCTGAACAGTGAGGGACTTGATGGATGGACACGAGACAGCTGACTCCAAAGCCTCTGTCACATGCGATGATCGGCTGCGTGAAGAGAGGGGACGTTTCTTCTGAGATGACCTTCTGAAGGAGCAGGAATGCCCCGACAGTCCCTCCCTCCTGCCTTGCTGACTCGAACTATGTCACATGTCCACAGAGACACTCATTCTTCATGGGAAGCGTAAGATTTCTTCAATTAGACTCTTTTCTAATCCTAAATTTTACCTGAGAGGAATCTGTGTGCGTGATTCAGTTACTTGGATTATTCTCTAGTTTTAAGCAATGGTTGAAAACAAAGCAATACTTTTTATATCATTTCTGCTTTTCCTGCTGTTTCATAGTAGAGGCTGGCAATTACCTTTTCAATAGCACATTCCCATAACCTCAGCTTATGCCTCCTAATCTTTCTGCACCACTTTGTTACAAAATGAATGAGTTTCATTGACATCCCTGATGTTTGACACTGGACATCAAAGTGGAGCTGCAGGATTACAAGTGAGGACACTGAATCCTGTATATTCAGGAAAACCAAATTCAACCGAGCTGAATATTACTCAGAAACGCTGCTCTTTTTCAATGTAAAGTTCATGCTTCTAATTTTTTCTTGATGATTAAAACATCGACACTAGGTTGTCCTTAAACATCAGGCCTCAACTTGCCCTAAGTCCCGCTCCATTCTCAGCTTATACTCTCATCCCTCTACACGGGGAAATACAGAAGCTATCAGATGGACCTTGCCTGTCTCCTCAACAGGAAGCCCAGCACCATCTGTTCCTTCTCCTTCTCATCACAATGGTTGGACCCTCCCGGTACAATCATCACTAGGAACCTTCAAAATCTTCTCACTTAAAATCGCACCATCTATTTACCATCACATATTGGTCATTTTCAACAGAGATTACCTTCAGCGTTGTAACATGATCTAGTCTCCAGACATGATTGTCTGCAATTGCCTCCACAGATGACAAAACGCTTTCTCATGCTGGTGACCTATCAGGTTTTTTTTTCTTTTCTCAGAGTGATTGGACCCTATCAACTTATTCCCACCCACTGAAACAAATATTCAACTATTATATTTCCCTCCACATGAATATAAATTTATATCAATTTACTCGGGATGACCAGCTCATCAAGGCCAGGACAGATCCTTCTGCATCTATTCAAATTCAGGCCCAGAAACCTCTCGTGAGTCACAGGCTCACCTGGTTCTGGATTTTTGATCTTTTCTGTTCCTCTCCACTGCCCTGAGCATATCAGTTCACTGTTCCAGATCTCAACCAGAGGATCCAGACGTGTCCTGTTTTTCTGGATCATCACACTTTGGTTGACTCTCCTTTTATCTACAATCAGACCAGCAACTCAGTAGTTATTTACTTTAGTAATATCACTGAAAATACTGAAGTAATATGGCGCAGGCGGGGCTCTGTTCATGAAATGATATCAAGGAAAGGGCTTTTCAGAGACAACTGGTTCCAAATCAATCAATGTACAGGCGAGGTCACTGGCCTGAGGGAGAGTTCACCAGCCCAGACCCACAGGTGGGACATCTCAGGGCAGGACCAAAGCAACTGTTACATGGACAAAGTTGTCTGTCAGAGATGAGTGCTCACATAGGTCTGTGCTGGATCCCAGCAGAGGTGAGACCGCTGATGACGCTGATGACAACACTTAACACCTCTGTTGCCCCACTATAAAGTTCACAATGAAATTACCTGTGATCCACAATATATACTTTCACACTGAAATGCAGAAGGGAGAGGCCACATCCCCAGTCACAGAGCAAGAAACGATGGAGCTGTGCTCTGCTCTCCACCACTACTTACTCATGTGATCTCAGACACAGCCCCAGGGTTCAATGACACAGGCACTCAGGAAAGCAACTCACATCTACAGTTTTCAAGGGAACCTGCTTCCTGAGGTGGGAGCTTCCCTCTGACCATGTGGATCTCATCCACTTTTCAAGCCAGTCAATATGAAGGTGAATTTCCCAGAATCACACATGTTCTTCCACCCAACATGGGGGAAATCATTTTCACTGACTTCAAAATTCACTATCAGTGGCAGGACAACAAGAAACAGATAGTTCTGGAACGTGTGAGTGTGTCCACCAAGACCAGTTAGTGGCCCAACATACAGAGTGCTGGGCAGCTTCCACTGACTGTCTGTTTGTGGTCAGGTGAAGGGCTGGACATTCCTCAGTGTGCACACCCTGAGTCCTGGGGCTCATGTTGTTCTTGCAGACACTCAGTTGTGCACAGGGAAAAAGCAGGATTAGGGCTCTGATGGTCATATCAACTATGTTAGGAAAGAAACAACAGAAAAAGACTGAGTTCCCTGAAGGCAGGGTCAGCATCTTCCTCCCAGGGGGAGCCCAAGAGACTAGGACCTCTCCTAGTTTCCTTCTCCTTTTTGTAGAAAGGCAACTGCCACATGCAAATTTCCACTTAGGTCACAAGGTGTAAACAGTCACTTAAATTCAGGTTCCTCCTCACCCTGAAAATATTTTCAGGGAGTCGTGAATCTCATCTGCAAGAACATGAGTCACCTGTGGTTCTTCCTCTTTCTGGTGGCCGCTCCTACATGTGAGTGAATCAAGGACTCAGACATGAAGATATGGGGACACTGAGTCTGACCGCATGACTTACTGTGTTTCTCTCTGTCCACAGGTGTCCTGTCCCAGGTGCAACTGAAGGAGTCAGGACCTGGCCTGGTGAAGCCCTCGCAGACCCTGTCCCTCACCTGCACTGTCTCTGGATTCTCTTTGAGCAGTTACGGTGTAGGCTGGGTCTGCCAGGCTCCAGGAAAAGGGCTGGAATATGTTGGTGTTATAGCTAGTAGTGGAAGTGCAAACTACAACCCAGCCCTGAAGTCCCGAGCCAGCATCACCAAGGACACCTCAAAGAGCCAAGTTTATCTGACGCTGAACAGCCTGACAGGCGAGGACACGGCCGTCTATTACTGTGCGAGACACAGTGAGGGGAAGTCAGTGTGAGCCCCGACAAAAACTTCCCACAGGCAGACAGGAGGGGCTGGGCTGCAAGGGACTCAGGACACCAGGGGGCGCTCAGGACCCACCCAGTGCAGGGGTGAGCCCAGGAGCAGGTGCAGGGAGAGGCTGGGAGGCTTTCCTCCTTAGAATCTGTGCTTTCATCCTCCACCAGGGACACTCTCCTAGGCCCTATTTTGTCAACTCTGTGTTTTATGTTTCATTCAGAATACAATATTATTATTTACTAAGAAATTAAGGTAAGATTTTCCCCTATATTCTTCTTCTGCTTGAAGGAGCTTCATACATTTCTCAGGTCACCATAGTTTCAAGAAGAATTTGAAGTCGTGGATCTTGGTGAGTATGCTGAGAAGCCCTAGAGGATTTTAAATCACAAATAAATTGTTCTTCATGTTTCTATTTTACAGAGGCCAAGAGGAGCCCCACCCTCCAGCATTGTTAGCACTGCACGAATAGGTTGAGGTCTGTGCAATGTGCCCTAGTGAAGACTTCTAAGGCCAGAGTGTCCTGGTGTTGGACACACAATGACCCTCATTATTCACAGATTCCATATTTGTAAATTCGCTTCCTCACTAAACTGTATTTCCTTCCTCAAAAGAAAACTGTTGTTATTTTTGCAGTCACTCATGGAAATGTTCATTGTGGCCAGTAATTTGAGTCACACAGCACAGACACATTCCAATTTGAGGTCACAAAGGCAGTTCTCTGCCTTCTGGTTTCAGCTCCATCAAGTAAAGAAGTTCCTTTGAGCTCAACTTGGGGCTAGGTTTTTCACATTTTTGTGCTTGTAATGGGCAGTTTCCCTGTTTAAAGTGGCTCCTGAGCATAGTGCTGAGGTGCTGGCCAGTGTTCATATGCACAGAAAGGCTGGGAAGTGCCTTAAGGAGAAAATAGATATGTTACACAAACTTCATTCAGGCACAAGTTATACTGCCCTTGACCATGAGCTCTGTGCTAACGTATCAAATAAAAATTACCTCCAAATAAGAGGAAGACAAAACTCACTGTGTATTGGAGGCAGTCCTGGAAACCAGGCTCAATGCCAACACAACATGGACAACTGGATGTTTATGGTCAAGGAGCAGGAAGTGGTGAGTGGATAGAAAAGTATGAAGAGGAGACATCAAATCAGGGTTTCTGGCAAGACCGGCTCCACATGCTTCTTCTGAAGGGAGTGCAGGCGGTCAGATTTCACCTGGAGAGAACGGGGATGAGGAATTTGATCAAGGTGAGGATGAGCAGATGTCAAGGGTGGGGATCCTCATTCTGCTGATCATCAGGGATCTTGATAAAACAAGACCAGGAAGATGGACAGGGAGCCCAAACGTTGACACATAGTTGAGAAGAGCATTTTGAGGAGCCTGGCTAAAGTAAGGCCAAGGAGTCTGTCATCTTGTAAGAAGAGGAAAAGTGGACACACAGAGACACCAGGGGTGCACATGCACAGAGATCAGAGTCCATCTGCGACTCAGTGACAAGGTGACCGTCTGCAAGCAAAGGAGAAAGGACTTAGGAGAAACCAAACCTGATGACACCTTGATCTTGGGCCCACATAGTCCATATAGTAAGAAATAAATTTCTGTAGTTTAAGCCACCCAGTTTGTAAGCTTGTAATGGCAACCCTAGCAAACTAATACAGAAATGATGTGGCAGCAGAGTAGACATCTGTGGGGTTAAAGTATTAATTAGGATAATAGTCCAGAAAATATCTGTAGTCTAAATGTCAGAGATAAAAGAAAAAATAAAACAAAAAACATGTGAAATAAATAAAATGCTGAGAAAAAAAGACTTTTTTTCGGTCCTAGAAGTAGAAGATAGAGATATAATTGAAAAACATATTGAAGATTGGGAATTTATGGAGTGTTTTTTAAGGAAAACATGGCAAGAAATAGATTCATAGCACACCTAGGCATTTTCAAAAACCTCATAGAAAATGGAATCTATTTTGGAAATCATATAGTGATGAGTTAAAGAAATACTTTGGCTTCACAGAGACACAGTAGAGCTGAGGTCTGACTGCTCAGTATACGTCAGAAAGGAAGTCATCGTCAATAGAATGGAACCAATCCAATGCAGATGGTCATGCAGGCATTTCCCAGCATCATCTCCTCCACAAGAATAAGAGACTCAAGCAAAACCACCCGAATCAACTTTGTCAGAGCTGGAGAC